TATGTGTGATTCTTTATCTTTTAACTCCACGCCTCTTGTCAAGACCCTCGCATTTATTTCTCTCACAACCCCATCTATAAATATATTAAACAATCACGGTGACATCACACATCTTTGTCTAAGGCCTACTTTTACTGGGAAATAATTTCCCTCTTCCCTATACACTCTAACTTGAGCCTCACTATCCTCGTAAAATCTCTTCACTGCTTTCAGTAACCTACCTCCTACACCATACACCTGCAACATCTGCCACATTGCCCCCCAATCCACCCTGTCATACGCCTTTTCCAAATCCATAAATGCCACAAAGACCTCTTTAGCCTTATCTAAATACTGTTCACTTATATGTTTCACTGTAAACACCTGATTCACACACCCCCTACCTTTCCTAAAGCCTCCTAGTTCATCTGCTATCCTATTCTCTGTCTTGCTCTTAATTCTTTCAATAATAACTCTACCATACACTTTACCAGGTATACTCAACAGACTTATCCCCCTATATTTTTTGCACTCTCTTTTATCCCCTTTGCCTTTATACAAAGGAACTATGCATGCCCCTCTGCCAATCCCTAGGTACCTTACCCTCTTCCATACATTTATTAAATAATTGCACCAACCACTCCAAAACTATATCCCCACCTGCTTTTAACATTCCTATCTTTATCCCATCAATCCCGGCTGCCTTACCCCCTTTCATTTTACCTACCGCCTCACGAACTTCCCCCACACTCACAACTGGCTCTTCCTCACTCCTACAAGATGTTATTCCTCCTTGCCCTATACACGAAATCACAGCCTCCCCATCTTCATCAACATTTAACAATTCCTCAAAATATTCCCTCCATTTTCCCCAATACATCCAACTCTTTATTTAATAATTCCCCTCTCCTATTTTTAACTGACAAATCCATTTGTTCTCTAGGCTTCCTTAACTTGTTAATCTCACTCCAAAACTTTTTCTTATTTTCAACAAAATTTGTTGATAACATCTCACCCACTCTCTCATTTGCTCTCTTTTTACATTGCTTCACCACTCTCTTAACCCTCTCTCTTTTTCTCCATATACTCTTCGCTCCTTGCATCACTTCTACTTTGTAAAAACTTCTCATATGCTAACTTTTTCTCCCTTACTACTCCCTTTACATCATCATTCCACCAATCGCTCCTCTTCCCTCCCGCACCCACTTTCCTGTAACCATAAACTTCTGCTGAACACTCTAACACTACATTTTTAAACCTACCCCATACCTCTTCTACCCCATTGCCTATGCTCTCATTAGCCCATCTATCCTCCAAAAGCTGTTTATATCTTTCCCTAACTGCCTCCTCTTGTAGTTTGTAAACATTCACCTCTCTCTTCCCTGATGCTTCTATTCTCCTTGTATCCCATCTACCTTTTACTCTCAGTGTAGCTACAGCTAAAAAGTGATCTGATATATCTGTGTCCCCTCTATAAACATGTACATCCTGAAGTCTACTCAACAGTCTTTTATCTACCAATACATAATCCAAGAAACTACTGTCATTTCGCCCTACATCATATCTTGTATACTTATTTATCCTCTTTTTCTTAAAATATGTATTACCTATAACTAAACCCCTTTCTATACAAAGTTCAATCAAAGGGCTCCCATTATCATTTACACCTGGCACCCCAAACTTACCTACTACACCCTCTCTAAAAGTTTCTCCTACTTTAGCATTTAGGTCCCCTACCACAATTACTCTCTCACTTGGTTCAAAGGCTCCTATACATTCACTTAACATCTCACAAAATCTCTCTCTCTCCTCTGCATTCCTCTCTTCTCCAGGTGCATACACGCTTATTATGACCCACTTCTCGCATCCAACCTTTACATTAATCCACATAATTCTTGCATTTACACATTCATATTCTCTTTTCTCCTTCCATAACTGATCATTCAACATTACTGCTACCCCTTCCTTTGCTCTAACTCTCTCAGATACTCCAGATTTAATCCCATCTATTTCCCCCCACATATATGTATATATATATATATATATATATATATATATAAATATATATATATATATATATATATATATATATATATATATATATATATATATATATATATATGTATATATATATATATATATATATATATATATATATATATATATATATATATATATATATATGTCGTGCCGAATAGGCAGAACTTGCGATCTTGGCTTAAATAGCAACGCCCACCTTGCCATGTAAGACAAGCGAAAATTTGTGTATGCAATAATTTCGCCAAAATCATTCTGAACCTAACGAAAAAAATATATTTCACTATGTTTGTTTAGTATTAAATTATTGTAAAGAAATCTAAAATATATTTAGTTGGGTTAGGCTAAAATAAATTGTTCTATTTACAATAAGATTAGGTAAGTTTTCTAAGATTCTTTTGGAGCAAAATTAAAATTTTTTACATTAACATTAATGAAAAAAATATATCTTTAAACGTATAAGAGGAAATTTTAGAAAGGACTTAATTTTATATGAGTTCTTGCTAATTGACCAGTTTTACATTTTCGGCACGACATATATATATATATATATATATATATAATATATATATATATATAATATATATATATATATATATATATATATATATAATATATATATATATATATATATATATGTATGTATATATATATATATATATATATATATATATATATATAATATATATATATATAATATATATATTAAGGTTATAACTTTTTTACAACGTAATATTCCTGTTGTTTAATCAGATGAACTTTTGCCTAAAAGCAATTCAACATCTTTTTTAGAAAATTTCACCTCTAAATGAAAAAAAAGAGTAACGAAATCAAATAACTTAAATGCATATTGTATATAATATTAAAAGCAAATAAAACAGCTTACAACAACATTGTTATCATGTTTGTACATATATTACTAATTATTGCTTAGAATAAACCAAAGTTGCAGTTTGCTATTGTTTCTGCTGGCAGTATACAGTTCCTACATAACTTTGATTGCACGTTCAGCACACCGATCACTTCTTGGTATATTGAGTGCGGACGGCTCCTGCTTCCAGTGATTTTTCAGTGAGTTTAGTGCCTTTATGTAAGGTTTCAATATTTCTGACAAATTCTTGAAGTCATTTTCATCGTATATATGGTCAGTAAACCAATAATCTGCCCAGGTGTATGAAATGAATCTTCATATCTTCTCCAAAGAATAGCTAGAATGGCTCTTGAATTCCACCTCGCATTGATGATGTTTTAAAATTTTCTGAAAGTTAATAAAAGGGAAGTACCCAATTTCTTCAAAGAATCTAATTATTCGTGTTAGACGGTACAAAAACTTCAAATCATCTTTCCATCCTGATTTATGGAGGATCTCTTCTGTTCCATTAACAAACTGTTCCTTTAGTTCCTCATAATTCTTTGCAGGTTGGGATATAAATGAATACTCGATGTTTGGAGAGCTGGTTTTAGCACCAAGATTTTCATCCATAACCAAACGGAGAATCCTGTCCAGAACGTGATGCTGACATCTGATAAATTGTGATTTGCTAATCCACTTCTCTGAGAACATTCATTGCAGACGGGCAACAGCTCCACTTTTTTTTTACCCTGTGTTAATGTTTGTTGTATCAGCAATGATCATCTTTATGGCATTCCTTAAGTTGTATTCATCAATAACTTTGGCCATTCCTTCAGCAATAGTTTCAGCCTTGCCATCTTTCAAATCAGTGCATCTTATTTTACTTCTGTTATTTCATTTTTAAGTACTAATACCTGTTAGTCATTTTCCTCAATGCGCTTTCCATCGAAATGTAAAAACCATTCTTCCATTTGTAACTTTTCAATCATTTCCTACTTTAATTTTAGCAGCCGCTTTGTATGTTGACATGTAAATTGCTCCTTGACTTGGTGTAGGAATGTCAATGCCATCAAATGACAACTGTCTGCATATCTTGGCGGCTTTACTTGTTGATACTTTAGTGCATGTCACTGAATTGGTTGCAAATTTATTTTTGTTGTGTTTTCTGGTTGGTGGAGTAGTACTTCCATCTTCATCTTTATATTCGCTCCCTTCACATTCAGTACCACTGTCACTCGATACATAACCGTAAGATGTTGATGCTGAAGCTGATTCAGCAGACAGTTTCCGTCTTTTTAAAGGATGAATAGTTTTTTCACCTACAACTTGACCTGTAGAGTACCCCACTTCTTAGCTTTCCACTTGAAGCTGGTATACCTGTTCGTCTTCAGAGGATAACCATTGGCCATTTGTATAAAGTTGTCAGTTAACAATTTTCTGAGTTGCTGCTTATGATTAGTAACGAAAATATATAGTGATTAATAATTTTCATTAGTTTCAGCTGCCAATTAGTACTTTCTTGTGATGCTACTTATGAGTAGTAACGCAGATATATAGTGATTCAAATTTGTATTTAGGGGTGACCTTTTTTGAAAGCTGAGAGGAGATGCTTTATTTGGAAAAAGAAAAAAATATTATAACCCTAAGATATTATATATATATTATATATATATATATATAATATATATATATTATATATATAATATATATATATATATATATATATATATATATATATATATATATATATATATATATAATATATATATATATATATATATGTATATATATATATATATATATATATAATATATATATATATATATATATATATAATATATATATATATATATATATATATATATAATAATATATATATATATGTATATATATATTTATTATCCAAAATTTTATTTGCATATTTTACAAGTCTCGATTATGTGATAGCTGTTTCTTCATATTTATATAAAAAAAAAAAATTTATATCAAGGAACTCTTTCACACACAAAAAAAAATTTGTTTACTCTGAAAAACTTTTATCCTCTCTAAAAAAAATGTTTATTCATAAGTGAAAAGAAAACATTTGTTCATTTTTTTTATAGAAATCAACAGGTACTTGGTGAAGCAAGAGATGATGTTGGAGATAGTGTTGGTGTCGGTGATGGTGCTGTTGGCGCTGCTCTGGCAGATCTTCAAGAAGCCTGCCGGCCTACCTCCAGGTGAGTAGGCCTACATGTCGACTGGCCTACTTGTCGACCTGCCTCCAGAATAGTACTTGCACTAAGGTCATTGCGCCTGTGAGGCGCTTAACCAGTGTGGGTCTACATTCTGTTTATGTAGTACCTTGTCGTGAAAGAGCTCTTGATCTGGGAAACTGGAGCTCTATTTAATATCTCATTTTCTTCGGATTAAGGCAGATTAATTGAGCAACAGACTTTAGAACTTCATGAAATACCTGCCTGAACTCATGAGTGACTCAACGAAGCTAATTTATCTGTAAAGAGTGGCGGTACTCATGAGTGACTCAATGAGCCTAACTTATCCACGCAGAGTTGCGGTACTCAGGGATGATTAAACACCACACGGATAAGCCCAGCTTATCCGTGCAGTGGCGAAACACTGGGCCATCTTTACTGCGGAGACTTTTCGCCCAGCAGACGCTTTATGAACGTAGTACCGAGAAGAACGGATCGATAACACAACTGGTTGACGATACGTCTTCGCAGTAAGGATACCCATGTATCACACATGTTTTTTATTCCTCTCCACCACGGTTTCACAAACCATTAATATAAAACGCATTCTGACAGGCTCTGCTGCTTATCTCGGCATATCTTGTCAGAGAAGAATAGTCATTATTCGCTGAATTATTTCCGTTCATGCCTCTCTTTTCCTTCAGTTTCCGGCAGAGGAGGAAGGGATGTATATGGGGGAGGGAAGGTGCGTGTGGGAGAAGTGTGGCAGTATGAGTTGTAATAAGTATTAAAATCTTATAAGAGTGTTATGAGCTAGATGAGTGAGGAACTGGGAAAGTGTGTGTGAGTGGGAATTTGTGTAAGTGGAAAAGTTTGGAAGCGGAAATGTATGTGAGTGGGAATACGTGTGAGTGGGGCTTGCAAGTGTGCGGAAGCAAGTTTAATGGGTGTATTTGCGGTATCGAAGTCGAATGGATTTACGTACGTGTTTAAGCGGTTTATAAAAGAGGTGGTGTGTTTTAGAGGTGTGGGAATGAAACAGGACCTCTGGGAGTATGTTGGAGAATGTGGGAATGAGCTGTGTGAGTGTAGAATGATGTGGAGCAGTGTGAGGAGCTATGGGAGCTTAAGAGTGAGTTCGAGTGGCGTGAAGTGAGTTAGAGAGGTGTGGGAGTTAGAATTGAGTATTAGACGTCTGAGTGTGATTAAAAGGTGTGGAAGTTTCGTCTAGGAGTATTTGAAAGGTATAGATAAGCGAAGATGTTAAATGAGTGCAGGAGTAAATTGGAGGGATGTGGCAGTGAGTTAGAAGGGTATGGGAACGAGCTAGATGAAAATAGCAGAGTTGTGAAACTGTTTATTATCAACCTTAGACGATGAATACAGCGCAATAATGCGAAAAATAAACACACAAAATTACCTAAAACGTATATATTTCTGTGTCTTTTACACAAACCAATTTTCCTTTAACTAAAACTGAATCCATCCACACTCTATGGCTGCCCTTATCTCAGTGACATTTTAGGAGGTTATAGGACGCGTTAATTATATTTACCATTCTGCCATTAGGCAGAATAGTTCACCTCTCGTAATACGTCACACGAGATAGGCTTCCTGTAATACTGCATCATAGAGGATATTTTTTCTCTCATACTTCCTTACGATGGATAGTTTTTCTTTTCCTTTTAGGTTCCATTGCACTAGTTAGTTTTCCTGAGTGCCTCTTATCTCATGCAAAGGATACGTTACAATTTATTCGGCATATGTCACTCTCCCATATAGGCTGTGTCCCAACCAGCGAACCGGGTGCTAAGGGTTTAGCGATTATTAGGGTATCAGTACCGTTCATTGTCCAATCACAAGCGAGCCCGCCAAATGCTGACGCAATGTGGTTTAACTTAATTAAGGTCAGCATTTGCCAGGTTCGCCTACCTGCTGGTTGAGTACGGTGCTCTCTTTCTCTCTCTTGTCATTCTGTCACCGTTGTGTGGTACACTTACTATTCAATCTCTGTACATAGTGTACGTAAGTGTACATACTTGTATATATCTGGCAAATTATATCTGGTAAAGGAAATACAAGTAATAGTCTATCTGCTGAGTTTGTTTTGCTCCAAAACCCATTACGACCAGGTCACAGGTCATTCATTACCAGTGTTCGTAATACCTCCATTGTAGAGGATTTTTTTTTTCTGTAGTATTCATTCGAACTTCAATACACAGGATGGTATTCTTGTCATATTTCATCAAGCAAGATGAATATTCTTCTCATATTCCATCATACAGGATAGTTTTCATGTCAGCTTTCTTGCCATACTTTTATGCATAAGAAGATAGTTTTCTTGTCATACTCACATGCACAGGAAGATCGTTTTCTTGTCATTCTCATATGCACAGGAAGACAGTTTTCTTGTCATACTCTTATGCACAAAAAGATAGTTTTCCTGTCACACAGGATGGTTTTCCAGTTACTGTGCTTCAAACATGATGGTCTCCTGTCATACTTCGTCTTGCAGAATGGTCATACTCCTTCCCAAATGATAGTTTTCCTGTCATACTCCTTCACACAAGATGTTTCATGCGCCAGAAACAAGACAACAATCATTTTCCTTTACCGAGCCATGCTAGACCGGTGACTTCTAGACTGTTGCAGCATTTAACAATAATGCGCGTGGACATAACGTGTACAGCATCAACAAACGCCCCTCCATTCGCAACCTCGGCAAATGGAGGTACCTACATTTTCATGGATCAAATGTGATAACTTCCAGTTCTTTATGATACCTACGAATTTAGTGTTTCTCCTATAATAATAATAATAATAATAATAATAATAATAATAATAATAATAATAATAATAATAATAATAATAATAATAATAATAATAACAACAACAACAACAACAACAACAACAACAACAACAACAACAACAACAACAACAACAACAACAACAACAACAACAACAACAACAACAACAACAACAACAACAACAACAACAACAATAACAATAACAACAACAACAACAATAATAATAATAATAATAATAATAATAATAATAATAGTAATAATAAAATGTCAAGAAATTAACTAGAGTGAAGAGGGTTGATGATAAATGTTTGTGTTTAGAGCATACAAGCCTTTGAGACATAAGATTCCATACCCCAAGTGTATGATGCAGGAGTCTAAGGTCGGGAGGAAATGGTACCTGTGTTTATACAAGGACAGTAAGAACGAGGCTTCCTTGGCCGGCAGTATAAGCAGCCACTTCGCAGACAATCCGAAATGCGCACTGCTGACAATAATTCGGAAAATAATCATGGTGCAACTCTACAATGAGCGAAACGTTTTCCCATAAAAGCTTATTTTGCAAACGTGTTGGATATGTATATATCTTTACATTGGAAGGCTTCGCTGCACTGTATGACCCTTGTGGTTTAGCGCTTCTTTTGATTATAATAATAATAATTGGAAAGTTTCGTTAGGTGTTAGGTAAATGGACAGCTGCAACTCATGCGACATTTTATTGTAGCAACGTTTCGCTCTCCAGGAGCTTGACAAAGTTCGTTGTGTGATAGAATGCATACAACTTTACGAGGGAAGACTCTTTCTTGGCTGGTGAAATGCGTATTAACTTCAGAGAGGAAGACGTTTGTTTACACTGCTGCTGTTCCTTAACTAAAGTGTGTGACGTAGCTGAATCCTAATGACCAGAACAAGTAAAATCATTTGAGAAGATTTGACTTTTTTTCAAGCGCATGTTTGCTGACAGTAATCACTGAATAAACTTCGAGAGATGTGTGCATATACACTGAGTGTGTGTATAACTCAGTTTAAAGACATCTCAGCATATATATATATATATATATATATATATATATATATATATATATATATATATATATATATATATATATATATATATATATAATATATATATATATATGCAAAACAACCGCTGTGAAAGAATATTGAAATGCCAAGCACTTTCGTGACTACTCACATTATCAAGGAATAATAAAAGTAATGCATCAAAGGAAGGCATATAAAGGGTCTAGACCACACCTCACCATCACATCCCACAAAAAAGCAACACCTGACGTGCGACGACACGCGACTCATAAGAAAGAGAACACAGCAGCAGGCCCACTCCCCCAAATAAACAGGTCCTTCACGGCAACAGACAAACAAACTATTCTACCCATGAATTAAGATTGCCTCAAACTCCTCCTGTTCTTCTCCATTCTCCTTTATATGGACTGAAGCCACAGTGTGGCGAAACGTTTCCTCATTAAAGATACCCAAGTGTTTCACATGTGTCTAATTTATAGGTCAGTTTTGTTCCAGGATGCGATCCACACCAGTCGACTAACACCCAGGTACCCATTTTACTGATGGGTGAACATAGACAACCGGTGTAAGGAAACACGTCCGATGTTTCCACCCCTTCGCCTGGAATCGAACCTGGACCCTCACTTGTGAAGCGAGAGCTATTGCCACCAGACCAAGGGGCACAGTGGCCTGTTGCCTCAAGAGCACACCTTCCTGCTGCCATTACTGGCAGTTACGAGTCATCATCATATTTATGGAGCAGGAAGATACAAGTCACTGTGTCAACAGCAATCATAACTATTGTTACCTTGACTAGAGAAGTTCGTGGCCAGGCAAGGACACTGTGTGGCTTTGTAAATGGTCCAAGTCGGACCGAAACGTCGTCATAAGTTCCTCTCTCCTATGTGCGGGTTTTTTGTGTATTGTTCCAGTCAAGGTATTGTGCCTTTTTTTCTTTCATGAAGATATTAATTTTGTTTCATTTTAATAACAAAGAAACCCGCTAAATAAGTGAGGATCCAGAGCGTTGAACATTTTGCCGAATGAAATCTTCTAGGCTCTTAGAACGGGGGTCCTTGATGCCGGTGAAGGACTCTGCGTTCTAGAAACTGAAACTTATCTTCGCTTCCTCGGATCAAACTTGATTATCTTCCATTCCCCAAGAATTACATTATCTCTATGAGCATAGCGCTCTTGCATGATTGCAATAATTATAATAATATTGCCATCAAGTCAAGGTAACCTAGCAACGGCTCAACCATTATTCTCCCCATGAAGAAAAAAAAAATCACTTATCAAGAAGAACAAGACTTTCAGGACAAAATTTAGTGTATCAAGTCTGGATTTATCAAGTCATGACTTTTTTTAAAGTCATTACTTGATAAATCTAGAAAGCCTTGACATAACTGTATACCGAGCGAAACGTTGTGTCAATAAGGACTTCTGCTTACGTTATTAATTTCTGTTAACAGCATGCCCTTCCGTCGACTATACTCTCAATGCTCATCTAATTCCTTTGAGGTGGTACAGAAAATGTCAGAGATAACGAAAGGTCTTTATCTATCATGTCTTTATCAAACTTCCCTTTGTAATTATTTATATCTTTGAATTTGCCAGAGCTGTTATTTCGAAGATTACAAGATCACATTCTTTAATCACGATAATGATGAATTTGGTTAAAATCTCAGCAGGGTTTGTTTGGAACAGTTCTTTAATGACCCAAATTATATATAACTTTTAAGCCTGACAAACTCATGCGAGAAATATACACTCAACAGGTCGATGGGGCTTGCCTGTGATTGGTTACGTGCCCATGGGCATAGGCAGCATCAGTGAACACCTCCTTGACTTACACAAGAAGCATGGAGACATATACCTGTAAGTACTATTTATACGGTGGCGCACACATACATGTAATGTTTCTGTTGTGACTTAACGTAAGTATTGTATCTATCGTGGGAATGGTAAATATACTCATCTACACACACACATATATATACATATTATTATGAATATATATATATATATATATATATATATATATATATATATATATATATATATATATATATATATATATATATATATATATATATATATATATATATATAGTCGTGCCGAATATGTAAAACTGGTCAATTAGCAAGAACTCATTTAAAATTAAATACTTTATAAAATTTTCTCTTATACGTTTAAAGATATATATTTTTCATTAATGTTAATGTAAAAAATTTTAATTTTGCACCAAAAGAATCTTAGAAAACTTACCTAACCTTATTATAACAAGTGTAATTTATTTTAGCCTAACCCAACTAAATATATTTTAGATTTGATTACAATAATTTAATACTAAACAAACACAGTGAAATATATTTTTTTCGTTAGGTTAAGAATGATTTTGGCGAAATTATTGCATACACAAATTTTCATTTGTCCTATATGGCAAGATGAGCGTTGCTATTTAAGCCAAGATCGCAAGTTCTGCCTATTCGGCACGACATATATATATATATATATGTCGTGCCGAATAGGCAGAACTTGCGATCTTGGCTTAAATAGTAACGCTCATCTTGCCATATAGGACAAGTAAAAATTTGTGTATGCAATAATTTCACCAAAATTATTCTGAACCTAACGAAAAAAATATATTTGATTGTGTTTGTTTAGTATTAAATTACTGCAGACGTATTTAAAATACATTTAGCTGGGTTAGGCTAAAATAAATTGCTCTTGTTATAATAAGGTTAGGTAAGTTTTCTAAGATTCTTTTGGTGCAAAAATTAAAAAAAATTACATTAACATTAATGAAAAATATATATCTTAAAACGTATAAGAGAAAATTTTAGAAAGGACTGAATTTTAAATGAGTTCTTGCTAACTGACCAGTTTTACATATTCGGCACGACATATATATATATATATATATATATATATATATATATATATATATATATGCACCACGCAGAAACAAGCGGATATATACAAAGAAAGATCGCAGTCAGCAGGACTCGAAACTACTAATGGGGACAGTCAAGATTTCTAGGCAGCGCTTAGTCCACTCGGCCACACAAATGCCACATAGGTTGGGCAGCCTGGTTCACAAGCCGTGTTTCTTTCCCAGCCCGGGCACGTCAGTGAGCCTCAAGCATGAATTCAAGCTATTTCAATCTCCTCATGTATGTTCTGACCTCTCAAACGATTTTTATGTCAATGCACCACGCAGAAACAAGTGGGTATAAAGAAAGATCGCCCGGGCTGGGAAAGAAACATGGCTTCTGAACTAGGCTGCCCAACCAATGTGGCATTTGTGTGGCCGACTGGACAAGAGAGCTGCCTGGGAGTCTTGACCGTCCCCAGTAATATATATATATATATATATATATATATATATATATATATATATATATATATATATATATATATATATATATATATATTATATATATTATATATATATATATATATATATATATATATATATATATATATATATATATATATATATATATTGTGTGTGTGTGTGTGTGTGTGTGTGTGTGTGTGTGTGTGTGTGTGTGTGTGTGTGTGTGTGTGTGTGTGTGTGTGTGTGTGTGTGTGTGTGTGTGTGTGTGTAAATGGGGGGCAGCCCCACACCTCTAACTTCCACAGCAGGCGTCTACACCATCCTCTGTGGATTCTGTCCCAAGAAATATGTAGGCGAGACAGGCAGAGATCTCGAGCATCGAAGTGCCTGTAACAGAGACGATTTAAGGTACGCCTGTCTCCTCCACAGAGATTCCACGGGTATTTGATGACTGGGATGAGACACAACTTGTTCTCACCGAACCAGACCTCAGACGCCGACGATGCCTAGAAGCCTCATTAATCGCTGTCACCGACACAATAGAACGTAACACTGGAAACAACAATATTTCTAAAACATTAGCATGCATGATACTCAGGCAGGCTAAGCACCACCAACCCAACAACACAGGAGTCACATGATCTCATATTCTACCCATCCTCATCCCAATATGGCATTCTTCACTGCTGTCTAGGCTTTAGATTTCTGCTTACCATGACTCCCCTGTCTTTTTCACTTTCTGTCTGATCAAGTTCTACTTCACCTAGTTTATATGTTTGAGGGCTATTTTCATTACCAAGGATTAGTACCTTAAACTTATCCACATTGAACTTCTGCCATTTTTCAGACCAAGACATTAATTTTTCCATTAATTTGCGTCACTCACACCTCACTCTCCGCTTATATATGTCTTTCTACCTCTGTATGGTAAAAGTGATCAAGATCCCAGGACCGAAACGTTTTCTAATAAATATGTCCTAGTGTTTGCTTACGTGTCTTTTTAAACCAAGTTGTCGGAGTTTATTACCAAGGTTTATACTATATATATATATATATATATATAATATATATATATATATATATATATATATATATATATATATATATATATATATATATATATATATATATATATATATATATATACTATATATATATATATATATATATATATATATATATATATATATATATATATATATATATATATATATATATATACAAGTGGTTCTATTTCTGGTTGTCACCATCTACTAATAATGCCATTACTACCTCGTTGCCTCATTGTCAACTGATCGTCCTGGTGCAGTCGCTGAACAAGGAACAGGACTCTGTCGACTTAGATTACCTAATCTGTTGCATATATAAAGGGTGAGGGCTCTCAGTGTTTTTTTTATCAGGAATGTTTCTGTGTGATGGTACAAGAGAGAGAGAGAGAGAGAAGAGAGAGAGAGAGAGAGAGAGAGAGAGAGAGAGAGAGAGAGAGAGAGAGAGAGAGAGAGAGAGAGAGAGAGAGAGAGAGAGAGAGAGAACGGGACATTGGATAAAACCTGCATTGAGACAGAGCCAAAGAATAATGTTTGCGTGAATATTTCGACTAGCAGCTGAGATCTTCAGCCTAACTAAGAAGAGAGACCAGGAATATGGAGGGTAAAAATAATGTTTGTTTTTTTTTTCTGTGGAGTGAAGCATCTTTTTGTCACTGCAGTTTCTTGGTTTCTCAACGTTTAATACTGAAGGCTTGTTCTACTGTATTAGTATACCACCAGTAACTGAAGGTACTGACGCAGGTGGAAACTGGGAACGAGGGTGATGGTGTTCCTCCATGACTACCACCTCTGCAGGGAAGCCTTCACTAGGAACGAGTTCGTCGACAGACCAGACTGGAAAGTTTTCGCATTCATGGAGCATCCTTGTCTCGGTTAGTGAATATATTTAACCGAGAGTTTTGGTACAGTTCGTGAGGAGGTGGACGCAGGAATGGTGTGAGTGCATGCAGGTGATGTAAAAGTGTAAGGGAGTGTGCAGGTGATGTGAAAATATAAGACTGTGTTTAGATAATGTAAGTTGCATGTAGGAATGTGTGGATACGACGTGAGTGTGTAAGGGATATGAGTGTGTGATGATGTAAGTGGGTGTAGGTCATATGATAGTGTAGGAATATGTAAATATTATACATTTGAAGAAGTGTGTAGAGGTAATAGGAGTGAGTGTGTATTTGTGTGTGTGTATGTGTTTCTGTGTGTGTTGAGAGAGACAATTCGAATGCGTGTCGAAGTCAAGGGAATGTGCATATGTATTCACCTAAATGTGGTTGCAAGGTCGAGTCATGGCTCCTGGCCACGCGGTGACACGAAGGTATAAGCATAATCTTGAAGCTTGAAGTAAAAATATTCTTCGCAGCTAATAAGGAAACCATTCCACTATAATGACTACCAAGTATTACACTGACATGGCAACCGTATTCTGTAAACACCACTGATGCACAACAGTCATTGCTGCCTTCCTCGTACAACACATGTTAGAAAACATATACTTATAAATGTACAAGTGCACTACATTTTTATTGCTCAAATTAAGTTTGCAAGTTCTAATTAGTAATTAGTATTAAGTAATTTATCATTTGGGCACCACAAGGAATTGTTTCAGAATCATGGAAAAAGAAACTCGGGAGATAAATTTATGTGTCTATTTCGACCCCCTTCTGGGATCCTCTTCATCAGATCAATTTATCTCCTGAGTTTCTGTCACCATATGGGTTATGACTGAGCATCGACAAATGTTCATTACACCTTAGTTATTTATTATGAATAAAGTCTAAGTATAAAAGTCTGTAAATAAATAAAGGAATAAACCCGTATGTTACTGCTGGTTCAGGGCCTCCAATATCATTGCCAGGTGTGTTTGCAAGCAATGGGTTGATATGGCGCAATAACCGGCACTTCAGCCTGCGTCAGTTGAAGGACTTGGGGATGGGTAAGTCCAGGCTGGTGGAGGCGGTACAAAAACAAGCCTTACGACTGGTGGAGCATTTCAAGACCCAGGCAGGCAAGCCTGCTCCTGTATCCCATGCCCTTAGCGTCTTTGTGGTCAATGTTATTTGGCAGATGGTTGCAGGTGAGTAACATTGGATGCATTTAGGGGCAAGAATTATGGCTGTGCTTTATGGCTCTTGGATTCTGTTTTGTAAAATTGACCATGTACCTTGCATAAACTTTCCCGTGCCCTGATACTGGTAGCATTCTCTTTTTAATATGTATCTTCATTTTATTTTGTAACACTTCCCTTGTATCTTGTATCTTTTTCCTGAGTATTGTATATCACCTATATAGTTTATATCACTATCCTCATATAGCTTCCTTGCAGTTTGCATGATTTTCCTCTTACTTTTTCTCACTTTCATTGTGTTTTGTATCACCTTCCTTGTATCATGAAGCATCAACAGGTCACACAGCCACCGTCATTATCGATGCACTTGGGAAACACGAAATGAGCGTTCCTTACCCTACTCAAACCCTCTCCGTGACCTCTCTGCACCAGTTACACAGACGATGGACAACTGGCCTCTGTATCTTGATGTGTCGTTTGTGTGCCTCTCTCTCTTCCTGTATATTTCTAGCTATGAAGGATGCGATATATATTTTGTGGATGTCATAACTGGTAGTATCCATATGAGAAGTCAAGCACGCTGGTATGCTTGGAGAGTCAATAACGCCAACAACGTGTGTGCCGCCCATTAGGATTAAACTGCTCGGCTTGTCGTATCTATCCGGCCTTCAAGGAGGGTTCCTTGATGCTTTTGTAGAGCTGTAAATCAAGGAAATCAAAACACAAATAACCCGCACATAGAAGAAAGGAGCTTACGACGACGTTTCGGTCCGACTTGGACCATTTACAAAGTCACACTGTAAGTGTGACTTTGTAAATTTACACAGTCACACTGTAAGTGTGACTTTATAAATTTACAGTCACACTGTAAGTGTGACTGTGTAAATATGAGTATGAATGTGACTTTGTAAATAGTCCAAGTCGGACCGGAACGTCTTCTATGTGCGGGTTATTTGTGTATTCCTCCAGTCACGGTGTTGTGCCTTTTTTTGTTATTCTAGGGAATCAAAGCCACTCTTTTCTTCCTTGTATCAATTTTGATTACCTCACATTTCACAGGACGTTATATGGCCCCCCTACCTGATTTAGTGCTTCCCTGTAATTTTAATAATGACACCCATTGTCGTCTCTACCTTCGACATTCGATATGAAGTCTCCTACAGCACCACTGCATAGTTTATTATACTTTTCATCGCTCGTATGTTCAAGAAAAGTTTTTGGATATCCTTGTTGTGGATCATTCAGGTGTGAGGTTGTCAACTATGTATTCTTGTTCTGGTTTCAGATTTTGTCATACATGCCCTTGAGTATTTTGTATATAATTATCATAATCGTTATTCTTTACAGTAAGTGTGTGTGTGTGTGTGTGTGTGTGTGTGTGTGTGTTGTGTGTGTGTGTGTGTGTGTGTGTGTGTGTGTGTGTACTCACCTATTTGTGGTTGCAGGGGTCGATTCATAGCTCCTGGCCCCGCCTCTTCACTGATTGCTACTAGGTCCTCTCTCTCCCTGCTCCATGAGCTTTATCATACCTCGCCTTAAAACTATGTATGGTTCCCGCCTCCACTACTTCACTTTCTAGGCTATTCCACGACTTGACTACTCTATGACTGAAGAAATACTTCCTAACATCCCTTTGATTCATCTGAGTCTTCAACTTCCAATTGTGACCTCTTGTGTCTGTGTCCCATCTCTGGAACATCCCGTCTTTGTCCACCTCGTCTATTCCGCGCAGTATTTTATATGTCGTTATCATGTCTCCCCTGACCCTCCTTGCCTCCAGTGTCGTCAGGCCGATTTCCTCAACCTTTCTTCGTAGGACAATCCCCGTAGCTCTGGGACTAGTCTTGTTGCAAACCTTTGCACTTTCTCTAATTTCTTGACGTGCTTGACTAGGTGTGGATTCCAAACTGGTGCTGCATACTCCAGTATGTGCCTGACGTAAATGGTATACAGAGTCTTGAACGACTCCTTACTGAGGTATCGGAACGCTATCCGTAGGTTTGCCAGGCGCCCGTATGCTGCAGCAGTTATTTGATTGATGTGCGCCTCGGGAGATATGCTAGGTGTTATACTCACCCCCAGATCTCTTTCCTTGAGTGAGGTTTGCAGACTTTGGCCGTCTAAACTATATTGTGTCTGCGGTCTTCTTTGCCCTTCCCCAATCTTCAGGACTTTGCATTTGGCAGGGTTAAACTCAAGGAGCCAGTTGCTGGACCAGGCTTGTAGCCTGTCCAGGTCTCTTTGTAGTCCTGCCTGATCCTCATCCGATTTGATTCTTCTCATTAACTTAACATCGTCCGCAAACAGGGACACTTCTGAGTCTATCCCTTCCGTTATGTCATTCACATATACCAAGAAGAGCACAGGTCCTAGGACTGACCCCTGTGGAACCCCGCTTGTCACAGGCGAACACTCTGACACGTCGTCACGTACCATGACTCGTTGTTGCCTCCCTGTCAGGTATTCTCTGATCCATTGCAGTGCCTTTCCTGTTATGTGTGCCTGATCCTCTAGCTTTTGCAGTAACCTCTTGTGAGGAACTGTGTCGAAGGCCTTCTTGCAGTCCAAAAAAATGCAGTCGATCCACCCCTCTCTCTCTTGTCTTACTTCTGTCACCTTGTCATAAAACTCTAGAAGGTTTGTGACACAGGATTTTCCCTCCCTGAAACCATGCTGGTTGTTAATTATACACTTGTTTCTTTCCAGGTGCTCCACCACTCTCCTCCTGATGAACTTCTCCATGACCTTGCATACTATACACGTTACTGATACAGGTCTGTAGTTTAGTGCCTCATGTCTGTCTCCCTTTTTAAAAATTGGGACTACATTTGCCATCTTCCATACCTCAGGGAGTTGCCCAGTTTCAAATGATGTGTTGAAGATCTTTGTTAACGATACACACAATATCTCTGCTCCCTCTTTAAGGACCCACGGAGAGATGTTGTCTGGTCCCACCGCCTTTGAGGTGTCAAGTTCGCATAGCAGCTTCTTCACCTCCTCCTTGGTTATATGTACCTCATCCAGCACTTGCTGGTGCACCCCCCTACTCTGATTTCCTGGAGTCCTACTGGTTTCCACTGTAAATACTTGTTTAAATCTTGTGTTGAGCTCCTGACATACCTCCCGGTCGTTTCTTGTGAATTCCCCATCACCCTTCCTCAGTCTGATTACCTGGTCCTTGACTGTTGTTTTCCTCCTGATGTGGCTGTACAATAGCTTCAGGTCAGTCTTGACTTTCGATGCTATGTCATTTCGTATTGCCGCTGAGCCTCCCTTCTTATCTGTGCATATTCGTTTCTGACTCGTCGGCTAATCTCTTTATTTTCCTGAGTTCTCTGTCTTCTGTACCTTTTCCATTCTCTAGTACACCTAGTTTTTGCCTCCCTACACCTTTGGGTGAACCAAGGACTCATTCTGTTCTTCCCATTATTTCTGTTTCCTTTAGGAACAAACCTCTCCTCTGCCTCCTTGCATTTTGTTGCCACATAATCCATCATTTCTTATACTAGTTTTCCTGTCAGTTCCCTCTCCCACTGAATGTCTTGAAAGAAGTTCCTCAAGCCTGAGTAGTTCCCCCTTTTGTAGTTTGGTTTTTCCCAGCCTATTCCTGCTGCTCTCTCCACTTGGAGCTCAACTATGTAGTCGAAGCACAGAACCACATGATCACTAGCTCCCAGGGGCCTTTCATACATGATATCCTCGATGTCAGAATTACTCAAGGTGAATACAAGGTCCAGTCTTGCTGGTTCATCCTCTCCTCTCTCTCTGGTAGTGTCTCTAACATGTTGATGCATGAGGTTTTCCAGTACCACATCCATCATCTTGGCTTTCCATGTTTCGGGACCCCCATGGGGCTCCAGGTTTTCCCAGTCAATCTCCTTGTGATTGAAATCACCCATAACTAGTAATTTTGCTCCCCCCATGTGTGCTCTCCTGGCCACCTCGGCTAGTGTGTCGACCATTGCTCTGTTGCTCTCATCGTATTCTTCTCTTGGCCTCCTGCAGTTCTGTGGTGGGTTGTACATTACTGCAATTATCACCTTACGTCCCTCAGACTGGATTGTTCCTACTAAGTAGTCCCTTTCGCCCGTGCCATCCATTCCTTCAATTTTCTCAAACCCCCATTGGTTTTTAATGAGCAGTGCAACTCCTCCTCCCCCTCTCCTCCCTCTGTCTTTCCTGAGGATTTGATATCCGGGTGGAAAGATTGAATCTGTTATTATTCTGGTGAGTTTTGTTTCTGTGAGTGCTATTATGTCTGGGGATGTCTCCTTGATTCTTTCGTGCCACTCCTCATACTTATTTGTTATTCCATCTGCATTTGTATACCACACCTTCAACTTCTTTTCTAAGATTGTGGTCTGGGAGGTGTATTGGGGTTGGGGAAGTGGGAGACCTGATAAGAACTATGGGTGGTTGCTGTGTGGGTGGAGTTTGTAATGCAGTGGGTGGGATCATTGGATGTGGCATGGGTGTTTTGGTTTAGAGTGTTTGGTTGCACTGGGGTTGACCTGGTTTTTGTGTGTGTGTGTGTGTGTGTGTGGTGTGTGTGTGTGTGTGTGTGTGTGTGTGTGTGTGTGTGTGGTGTGTGTGTGTGTGTTTGTGTGTGCGTGTGTATATTCACCTAATTGTGGTTGCAGGGCTCGAGTGGTGTACTCACCTAATTGTACCCAACTAATTGTGGTTGCAGGGGTCGAGACTCAGCTCCTGGCCCCGCCTCTTCACTGACCGCTACTGGGTCCTCCCTCTCCTGCCTCCACTACATCACTTGCCAGACTATTCCACTTCCTAACACTCTGTGGCTGAAGAAATACTTCCTAATATCCCTTTGACTCATCTGAGTCTTCAGCTTACAATTGTGACCTCTGTTTCTGTGTCTCATCTCTGGAACATCCTGTCTCTGTCCACATTGTCTATTCCACGCAGTATTTTTATGTCGTTATCATGTCTCCCTTGACCCTCCTGTCCTCCAGTGTCGTCAGACCGATTTCCCTTAACCTCTCTTCATAGGGCATTCCCCTTAGCTCTGGAACCAGCCTTGTCGCAAACCTTTGCATTTTTTATAATTTTTTTGACGTGTTTGACCAGGTGTGGGTTCCAAACTGGTGTTGCGAATGGGCCTGACGATTCCTTACTGAGGTACCGGAACGCTGTTCTCAGGTTTGCCAGGCGCCTATATGCCGCAGCAGTTATCTGGTTAATATGTGCTTCTGGCGATGTACTCGGTATTATACTCACTCCTAGATCTTTCTTTTTGAGTGAGGTTTGCAGTCTTTGGCCTCATTAGCCTATACTATGTGTGTGTGTGTGTGTGTGTATGCCCACGCACGTTAGTGTTTCATTGCAGTCACGCATATCATCATAATTTCCCTGCAGGAAAGGACTTCGAGATGACAGACAATAAGCTGAAGGAGTTTGAAGCAACACTCGAGTCTCTGATGGATGTGGTGAGCGTGATGGCTATTCCGGATTTCTTCCCTTGGCTAAAGTGTTTCCTTCCTGGTTTCTTGAGGAAGCAGCTGTTTAAAGAAGATCTTCTCTTGAAGTCCAAGAAGAAATTTTTAAAGTTCTTTTTCGTGAGTACTTCCGAGTCATTTCAACGAAACAATCTCTTAATTTCACGATTTTTTCGGAATTGGATAATGTGAATTCTACTGCAGAATACTACGTCAGTATATTTTTTATAACGAACCGGCCGTATCCTACCTAGGCAGGATGACCTAAAAAGAAAAACGAAAATTTCTCTTTTTAAATTTAGTAATATATACAGGAGAAAGGGTTACTAGCCCCTTGCCCCCGGCATTTTAGTCGTCTCTTACGGCATGCATGGCTTAAGGAGGAAGAATTCTGTTCCACTTCCCCATGGAGTAAGGTTATTTATAGTATTTTAATAAATCCGTAGAAGTGTAACAGCAGTGAAACATTGGTAGTATCGCAGGGAAGGTAGAGTAGACTGACTGCTGGGGCTAGGTAAACAAAGTTGACTGACTGGCGAGACTGGGTATACGTAGCAGGTTGACTGGAAAGACTGCATAAACAGTCGAATGATAGTGAGGCTAGGTATAGATAGTGGCATGAGTGGTGAGGCTGAGTATACATTGTGGATTGACTGGAGAGGCTTCATAAACATAGCTGAATGACTGGTGAGGCTAGGTAAACATTATGGACTGACTGGCGAGGCTGAGTAGAGAGAGTGGACTAACTGGTGTGACAATTGAGTCAGTTTACCCAGGAGTTACCACGCTGCGCCACGTCGTAGTTTTCCGTGACCCTGATTGCAGACACACTCAGCTCAAGTGTTTTATCTCTGTGACAAATTCTCATTGTTGATATGAGTGTTTAAAGGCTGATTGCAGCTTATAAAGCTGGGGTCGGCAACCTTTCGAAGAGAGAGGATCAGGGTTGTCAATAGTTTTTTAAACCAATTATGGTCTAATTCTAATAATACTTAACACAATTTATCACACATAATTAAATAAACATTATTATCGAATGCAGATTTCTACTGTGCAGTTGTTTTACCACCAGACAACAAACTTAAATGAAAAACTCTAAGGAGGGAGGATACGAATTAACTTTTCCATGGACTGCTTAACCTTGAAGTGAACTACTGCATCTGTATTCGATACTAATTAGATAATTTGTGTCCAGGTGTTAAGTTGGCGGGCCGGATGTGGCCCGCGAGCTGGGGGCTGCCGACCCCTGTTTTAAAGTATTGTGGGTCGTACAGTTTCAAATGAGTATGCCTTATATGATAATTGTGTATTGTAAATTCTTACAATTATTGTGGGCGCCTCTTCAACCTATTGGGGTGGATCATCCACCTGCTATAAGAAGTGCCTTATCCACCTGTTGTCAGAAATTCCTCCTTCACCTGGTGTAAGAAGACCTTCCCCCACAAACAGTAAAAATTCCCTCCTCCAGCTGGTATATCTTGTGTTCTTCAGGAAGAGATGGAAGAGCACAAAGCCAAGCTGGACAGAAACAACCCGAGGGACCTGATAGATGGTTACCTGATTGAGATAGAAGACAGGAAGAAGGACCCTGAATCTACCTTCAGCGGTAAGTACTGAGAATACTAGAAGGAAAAATAGTCAGGAATGCATACGCTAAACCCATTTTTTCTATTGAAGAGCTTTCGATCCTGGAACGATGAATCCTACACATATATTTGACTTCTGACTGCGACACTTTAGAATATTCTTTATGCAGCTAATGACTTTATATATATTATAGTTTCTCTTTTAAGAGAGATCCAGAACTGTTAATTAAGTATGTAACCTACCAGTTCGCCCCAATGTTGGTGGAATGTTAGCGTTCAAGGATTCACACTCGACTGCAGTGCTTCTTTTCCAAGGGATGCTCAGCCCTTGTGAAGGAAGACTGGGGTTTCAACATCCTGGAGATTCAGTATTCATGCCTGGATGGTTCCTAGTACGGAAATAATATTACCACTCTCATGAGGACACGACTCTGGTCGATGACTGGACTAGAGTGATCCAAAAATCGCTGCTATGGCAGTTGTTCAGAGTTATCTGCCATCTACCACTATAGTGTTTTTATTATTATTATTATTATTATTATTATTATTATAGTTAGTAGTAGTAGTAGTAGTAGTAGTAGTAGTAGTAGTAGTAGTAGTAGTAGTATGGAGAAGGACTAAGCCATCGGGATTATACAGCGCATGAAGAACAAACGGCAAATCAGACTTGATAATATGAGGTGAGTAACTGTAATTTCCTGAATTAAGAACCCTTCAGCAACCTTGAAGGCTCATCTCTCGAAAGGACCAACTCTTGCAGATCGCTGAACTGTGTTACTCTTAATTTTACCAAGCAATTTTCTTATTCCTTAAGCGAGCCGACATGATGTACGAAATGTTAGGCACTCAAATGCATACTTGTCTTTGGGCAATATTTATATTTGCTTAATGAAATTATTTTGTGTTATGTTTCCAGAAAGGAACTTGGCATTTTTGACATTTGACCTGTTCGTCACTGGGAGCGAGACGATGACCAGCACCTTGACCTGGATGTTGTACTACCTGGCCACCTACCCGGAGGTGCAGCAGAAGGTGCAGGCGGAGATTGACCAGGTGCTCCCTAAGGGTACTTTGGCTACACTCCAGGACAAGTCCAGGTAGCATTCACGTGTTCAGGTACCACTGACGTGTCCAAGTACCACTGATGTATTCAGGTAACAATGATGTGTTCAGGTAGTAATGACGTGTCTTTACATGTCTAATTTACATAAACATTAACAATTATTTTCCGTTACAAAAACTTCAAGTATACATTTGCAGTAATAATTTAAAGTGCTTACTTGCGGAGGGGGGGGGGAGGGGGGGAACTCTTCACCAGAGGTACCCGGAGGCTGGTGAAAGGCTCTTGATCCGGGTAATTGGAATTACTCTCCAGCCCCTGTGGGTAATCCTTATGGATTTTTTAACCTTAGTTATTAAAATATTAATTACTGATATGCTGGTTTGCAGGCTGCCGTACACGGACGCGTTTCTACATGAGGTTCTACGTAAGTCCTCCCAGACGTATGTTGGAGTGCCACACCTGACAGTATCAGACACTCGCCTGGGTGGCTACAACATCCCTAAAGTAATGTGTCTACGATATTATCTCAGTGTAGTTCAGACTAACGTTCTAACTGACCTTCAATTCGTAAATGAAAATTTGACGCCTTTTAGGAACATCCTGAAGTTGATAATGGTTCAAGAATTACCTTTACCAATACTTGTTCCTTCTTTTTTCCTCTCTTTGTCCCATTCCTGTCCCCCCTCACCTATATATATTGACTATCTCGTCTTCGTGTGTTAGTGTGACTTGTAAATGGTCCAAGTCGAACAGAAACATAGTGATAAGCTTCTCTCTCCTATTTACGAGTTATTTATGCATTGTTCCAGGACTGACCGAAACGCCAAGTTTTCATTTTGATGGAGAGTCGTAAATGAAATTGTCGTAATAGAGTATTAATACTAAATATATTGATAATTTTTTTTAAGTATTATTAAAATGAGAGCCAGATTTGATGCATGATATGTTCTTGGAACTGTTACTTTGCAGGGCACAGTAGTGGCTAGTGCTGCCGCTGCCATCCATCACGATCCACGTTACTGGGATCATCCTGACGAGTTCCAGCCGGAACGCTGGCTTGACTCCGAGGGCAAGTTCGTCTCCAAGAAGGAAGGCTTCCTTCCTTTCGGCATAGGTGAGCGGCTTCAACCCATTCCTCTTGAGGGGAAAACGACACGTAATAGAAAAGAAACCCGCATCTTTGACGACGTGTCGCTCGTGAATGAGCTTTATCGAGTAATAATATAGCACATTGGTGGACGAAATGTCGATTAAACTGTGTCTTTTCCGTCAGTTTGTAGGTTTGTTGCCCCCCAGACGTCATCATCCTCAGGAGATGTCTGGCTTTAAGACTTTTCCGTGCTGCTTCCACTGGGCTGTGGAATTCGTGTTTATATAAAATATTGTTTCCTTTTTGCACTGTTACTGTAAGAATTTTTGTTCTCGAAAAGAATGTATCAATTTTTAGAATGTACTTTAAATATGTACTGTCAGTACATTAATTTCGTGATTCACAATCTTAGTAAAGACTGTTCTTCATTAATTTTCAATGCACATTTTCATACTGATGTACTGTATATACGACGTTTTTTTTTCTTTTCCCAGGGAAGCGAATGTGTCTGGCCGAGTCCCTGGGACGTACAGAAATGCTCATCTTCTCCACGGTGATGCTGCAGACTCTCAGCATCTCCTGTGTTCCTGGCAAGTTGCTTGACCTCCGCCCTGACCCTAAGAATCCCTTCTTCCACTTCTCCAGGAAACAGGAACTCATCATCACTGTACGCGAGTGAACACAATTTCCTTACGCCGACCATTCGCAACTCAATTAAAACTACTAAAAATTCTGGCGTTAGGATGTTATTGATATAAATATAAAAAATATATATATATATATAAAATATAATATATATATATATATATAAATATATATAATATAATATATATAATATATAAGGTAGTAGGTTGGTAGACAGCAACAGCCCAGGGAAGTACTACCGTCCTGCCGAGTGAGTGTAAAACGGTAACCTGTAATTGTTTTAAATGATGGTAGGATTGTCGGTGTCAGGTATGTAGGCATGTTTTGCTTGTTCTACTTACAGTTAAGTCACACTACACATGCATGTACAAGCATATATATACACACCCCTCTGGGTTTTCTTCTATTTTCTTACTAGGTCTTGTTCTTGTTTATTTCATCTTATCTCCATGGGTAAGTGGAACAGAATTCTTCCTCAGTAAGCTATGCGTGTCATGAGTGGCGGCTAAAATGCCGGCAGCAAGGGGCTAGTAACCCCTTCTCCTGTATATATTATTAAATGTAAAAGGAGAAACTTTCGTTTTTCCTTGAAGGCCACCCTGCCTCGGTGGGATACGGCCGGTGTATTGAAAGATATATATATATATATATATATATATATATATATATATATATATATATATATATATATATATATATATATATTATATATATAATATATATATATAGGTATTGAATCAATAACAACACTGTGAGTAGCCGAGGATTCGAACCCATGTCGTTTTGGCCCTTCCTCGTGGTGAGCGAAAAATCACATGACGCACTGGACAACACAATTGTGTGGTTCAGTGTTTCTTTTCCAGTGATAGCAATTACAGTAAACTCGGTGTACTGCATGTACACTGAGAGCCCCTTCCTTGGTAAATACAATGAGGACAGCTGGGGTGATGAAAGACAAATGCAGCAACATTGAATATTTATTGACAATTTTTCACCCACGCAGCATTCATAAAGCCATGAATAGATGTACCTGGTAAAGGAGGGTGAACAAATGAACAGGAGAAAGTGCAGATTCAGGGCCCTCAATCTATCCTCATAGGGAAGATTTCTGATACATGGGATCAACTTTGTCATCCTCCTTTGTACGATTTACAGTGCATTTAAATCCATTCTGTAATACGGTGACCAGAACTGTGCAGCATGATCTAAATGAGGCCTAACCAAGGATATATAGAGTATAAGAACAAACTGAGGACTTCTGTTATTTATACTTGTACTTCTAGATATGAGGCCAAGGATTCTGTTAGCTTTATTGCGAACACTAATGCAATGTTGTCTTGGTTTTAGATTACTGCTAACCAGAACTTCTAAATCCTTTTTGCAATCAGTAGTATTAAGATTTACATTATTTAGTTTATATGTCGCATGGTTATTTTCCTGTCCAACATTTAGAACTTTGCATTTGTCTATATTAAACTGCATCTGCCACTTCATCGACCATTACATCAGTCTATTAAAATCATCCTGGAGTGCTCTAGTGTCCTCATTAGAATGAATTGGACGGCCTATTTTGGTGTCATCAGCAAATTTGCTTTTGTCGCTATTTATTCCTTCATCTATTTCGTATTCTGATTTCTCCCAGTTTATACAAACTCTCTCCTGCCTATTTGTCAACCATGCCTCTACCCAGGAAAACAATTCTCCTATTCCGTGTGCCTTAAGTTTACTCAATAGCCTCTGATGTGGAACTCTATCGAAAGCCTTACTGAAGTCCATATACACAATATCATATTCATTACCATGATCTACCCCCTTCAAACACCTTAGTGATAAAAGTTAGTAAATTCGTAAGACAGGAATACCCCTTTGTAAAACCGTGTTGAGATTCATTAATCAATTTATGGCTATCAAGATGGCTACGAATTGCTTCAACAATTATTGATTCCATAAATTTTCCCACTATGGAGGTAAGGCTTTTCTGGTCTATATTTAGAAGCTAAGAACCTGTTTCCTGCCTTGTAAACAGGTATTACATTTCCCATTTTCTGCTTATCAGGCACTATGCCAGTTTGTAGTGATATGTTGCAAAAGATTAACCAAAGGTTTGATAAGTTCCTTCTTACATTTCTTTAGCACCCTTGCAAACAGTTCATCAGGGCCTGGGGATTTATTAGGTTTTAATTTCTCTATTTATCTGAGGACCATGTCACTAGTTACCGCAAATGTGCATAGTTTATTATCATCCTGTTCTACATAATCTATTATTTCAGGAATTTCGCCTTGGTAAAAGCTGAGAGGAAGTAGTATTTGAAATTTCACACATATCCCTATCACTGTCAGTGATCTGACCTGAGTTACTATCTCTCTTTGTTGATCAATTGATTTGCCTCTACAAGCAACTTTATTTTGAATATTGTCTTTTAAACATATCCCTGAGGTATCCTGGTAATATCTTTTATTTTCAACCCTAATACTACATCCTGATTGTTTTCCACAAACACCCATACCTTTATAAACTATCAATTTAAATCCCTAGACAAGTCATCAATGACCCCCCTCAACTGAATTGGCTAATGCAGCCACTCCAGCCCCAGAGACATGAACCCCATCCTTTGTATACATATGTTTGCATAGAATTTGTCCCAGTTATCAATCACTGGGATTGCAAGTTCCTTGCAGTACCTGTCTAGCCAGCAATTTATACCAATTGCCCTAGACATCCATTCATTGTCCACTCCTCTTCTAGGCAAGATGCAACATATGATTGGGATCACTCGCTTAGACCTGATTACTTCCATAGTTGACCTGTACTTATCCAGCAGCTCCTGTCTCCTGCCCTTCCCAACGTCATTACCCCCAGCACTAAGACAGATAATGGGCTTGTTCCCATTACCTGGCATAATATTATGCAACCTGCTATGTCACCAACACCAGCTCCTGGGAGGCACACCCTCTGTCTGACCTTCCTATCTTTGTTACAAAAAGCACAGTCCATATATCTTACCTGAGAATCTCCTACAATTAGAATATTATTACCTTGATTAGCAGGAGAATCAGTGGTACCTTCAACTTCACTAACCACTGAAGTACACTCGTCCTGGAGAACAGAGAATCGATTTCCTACCTTCACATCTTCTCTTTTAACCCTCCTTATCTTCCTTCTTCATGAACTGTGAACCACTTGCCACTTAAAGTGTCTGCCACTCTCACTGCTGGTGGCCATTTCCTCCTTACCAGCTAAAACCATCTCACACTCACTCCCAAACCCATCTAGGTGAAGCTTCAGCCTCCTATTTTCCTCTTAACTTTGATATAAGGGGCCCATAACTCTGAAAAGAGAAAAACGAGCTTCAGGAAAATGATTTTGCCTCTTTTTCTTTAAATAGTTTGAATGTTTTCCTTGTACTTCACATTTAATATTTTTGTTGTTGTTTACAAATACTTTATTTTTCTTAGTCTAGTTTGATAAATGATTATATCACGCATACATTGAAATGGTTATTAACATTTGGAGCTAAGTAGGCTTAATTAAGGCAGTTCCTAAGAGGTAGGTAATGAGCCTTGAATAAAAAAGGGCATTTCTTCTCTGGCTCACAACACTAAGGTACTGGAGCTTCGTGATCCTTGGTTTCCCCTAATGAGTTTATATGCCCATCTGTTTCGGGAATTTGTGTGTATGATTGCCCCATTTCCCAAGGGTTTCAGTATCTGTTGGACGTTTTTGTCATGTTTCAAATTTCCCTATTTTATGATTCAGGTTTCTGTTTTGGAAATTTATCTCTTGTGTAATGACATTGCTCTTTGTATTGTGTTTGTATAAAAATGCATTGTGTAGCTATCGTTCTGTATGTATTTTGCTTAGAGAATAAAAGTCACAGAACCATGCAGGAACAATTCACAACTAACCTAAAAACTATAAATGAAAACTGTACGGTGCTTCGACCATTATTAAATCGTGAGTGAAAGAAAAAATGGAAGAAAAACGGACTTCAAATCAAACCATGGGAAAAAAAAGGAGACAGAGTTGCGGTTAAGAATCCTAAATGTTAAGTAAGATTTGCCAGGAAACTGGAGCTTTTGATCATCTAACTGAGGCGGTTAAGAATCCTAAATGTTAAGTAAGATTTGCCAGGAAACTGGAGCTTTTGATCATCTAACTGAGCGTTAAAATCTAAGTAAGTAAGATTGCCAGGAAATGGAGCTTTTGGATATCTAACTGATGCGGTTAAGAATCCTAAATGTTAAGTAAGATTTGCCAGGAAACTGGAGCTTTTGATCATCTAACTGATGCCTTCCGTTGGCTGGCCAGTCCATCTCTTTAAAAATTAAGGAAGACCATTATATGTATGTTAGGTTACCTGAGAGGATAAATTGTACAGGTAATTTAAATTAATTCAATTAATTTGAATTACCTATGTAACTTTTTTTCCTTTTTCATTGATTCGATATAGTTTTTACTTCAATTACAGGTTTGACTTATTTGCAATCTACTGTTTTAATGGAAAATGTTTTGTTATTTGTTAGTGAAACTGTGGACCAGTAGGCCTCCTGCAGTGTAATCTGAGGTATTATCTCACTTTGTGAGGTTTAACCTTACTGAGTGAGCTGGGTGAGTTGTTATTTGCTCTGAGTGAGGTATCACCTAGTGTTTATTATATATAAAATTTATTTCTTACCTCTTCTTCCTGCTCCTCTAAAGATGTGTGTAAACACGTAAAAGGGCTCAGCTTTTCCTATTTTCAGCGTGGTAATATATATATATATATATTATATATATTATATTATAATATAATTTATATATATATATATATATATTATATATAATATATATATATATATATATATATATATATATATAAATTTCATTGTTCTTTGATAATGTGATAGTCACGAAAGCGCTTGGAACTTCTCTATTCTTTCACAGTGTTGTTTTGCATATTCTGAAATCACCTGTTTACTGTGATCTTATTGCATATATATATATATATATATATATATATATATATATATATATAATATATATATATATATATA